AAGAAAGAAAGAAAAGAAGAAAGAAAGAAAAGAACAAACTAGCCTGCTTGGCCAGAACCCACTGCAGCAGGATGGTTTTAGCACCTTGGAGAGCTCCCTGCAAGGCAGCTGCAACTCTCTGGACTACCTCCCCTCTGGATTCCAAACCCAGCCCTGGGTCGGACACCCAAAGATTATCAGGCACAGGTATGTACTTTCCCCCTTCCTCAGACACTTCTAGGTCTGAGAGGAGAGGGTGGTGGTCCCCACTTTGTAGGGAAGCCCCTTCTTTGCTGAACAACTTGAGGGTGAGAAGGTTTCCCTCCGTACATAAATTGGCCTCTTTAAATTCCAATGCTTGGACTTCATGACCTCTGTGGCCAACTACGAGGTAGGTGCTACCTTCACCTTAGGTCAGATGGGGAGATTGAAACCCAAGTTCTTCACCCTTCAAGGGAGTCAGGTCCACCCACAGATTCCCACTTGAGGAAACAAAATGATCCTGCTGAGTTTGTCCTTTTCTGAGCTGAAGACCTCCCTAACACATATTTGCACAGCTTTCATGGGGCCTTAGCGTCCTGCCCTCTCCATCCTGGCTGCCTCTCTGGTGTTTGCCTTGTCACCGTGAAGGCCCAGGAGGACATCTATACTCAGTTTGTTGGAAGTCTGAAATGATATTATTTATTTATTAGAGAGAAGGAGAGAGAGAATGAGCAGAGCGAGGAGCAGAGGGAGAGGGAGAAGCAGACTCCCCACTGAGCAGGGAGCTTGACGAGGGGCTCTATCCCAGGACCCTGGGATCATGACCTGAGCTGAAGTCAGGTGCTTAACTGACTGAGCCACCCAGGCGCCCCTGAACTTCTCTTTTAATTTTACACTCTTCTCATAATAATTTTCTTAAAAGGTAAACAGGTTCTCTGGCAGTTAAATTCTAAGGCTGATCCTCAAAGACCAAGGTTGGTACCACCCCCACTCTAAGCTGCTTGAGACAGGACAGTGTGATTCCCAAACTTTCTTGATGAGACAAATCTCCTAGGGCACCCATTAAAATGTAGATGCATGGGCCTCGCTCCACCAAGATTCTGGTTCAGCAGGTCCAGGGCCCAGGAATCTGTGTTCCTAACCCAGGGTCCCAGGTGATTCCTATAATTGATTGGAGTGGTTGAGGTCAGACAGGTAGAAGTGCATGCTCCTAGCAAAGCAGATAGCCTGTGCAAAGCTCCTGGGACAAGAAAGTGGTGAGATCAAGGAATCCCATCAATGTCTTCCACAGTGCTAGCAATAAAATCTTCATGCCTTTTGCCAAGATTTGTAGGCCTACAGCCCTCCGCTGCCTCTTCAGCTCACAGCATAGCCCCTCTCTCCTGGCTCACTAGCCCAGCCAGACCGGTGTCTATCAGTCTGGGAAATAAGCCTGCATGTCCACTGTTCCTCTGCTTGAAATGCTCTCTCCCTGGTCTTGCTATGGCTTATTCCTTCCCACCCCGCACATTTCAGCTTAAATGTCATCTCACAGAGCCCTCCCCAGCCACGCGTCTTAGGCAAGGGTCCCCATTCATCTCTAGAATCATGCCCTGTTTGTTTACTTTGTTGCACCAATAATCATGGAGAATTATCTTGTTAATAGGCGTTTCCTTGAGGCCAGGGACTCTGTTTTGTTCACAACCAGGTCACTAGTGGCTAAATGAGCACCCAGCACACGCAGTAGCAGGCAATGGCAACCTGTGGAACAGATTAAGAGTTCTGTGTGGAAGGAGTGGGAGAGGGGCAGGCCAAAGTGGGACGTGGGAAACAGGAGCCAGAGTACAAATGTTCAGAGCGGTGCTGCCAACCTCCACCCGCCCCTGCCCCAGGAAGATGGGCTTGAGTGCCCCATGGTGGCCCTGGCTGGATGTTACCTGCGTGGTCAGTCAGCTGGTTATAGCTCAGGTCCAGGGATTTCAGTCCCGTGTGGGCCAGCAGGAGTTCAGCAAGGTACTGGGCTGCATGTTCCTCCAGGCCGTTCCCTGCCAGTTGTACCTTCTGCATGGTTAGGTTCACCGTAAGGGCAGCACAGATCGCCTGCGCTCCCACCACTCCCATCTGGTTCTCCGACAGGTCCACATCTAGGGTTTGGCAGCACTCCTCCATCAGTGGGATCCAAAGCCAGGCACCACCTTCTTCCACCTTCCTCTATCCCCCAAACCTCCAGGCCTGAGGCAGCGGAGGAGGCGATACAGCTGGACTATCCTGGGGTTGCACGGTGACTCTGCCTCTCATCAGCTGCACCCATCCCCGCAGGCCCCAGGAAGCTTCTCTGATGCCCACACCCTCTCCATACATCCACAAGCTTCTTTGTCTAGGGGCTCAAACCGCCTACTTCATGGTGCTGTATAGGATACCTGTGATGGTGAGGCAGCCACCCCGTGGATGATTCATGCCTGGCAGCAATATAACACACCCACAGAAGTCTTCACCGATGAATTTCTGGGAACTAACAATGACAGCCCAGGTGGCCGTGCACAGAGCACGTACGTGAGCCAGGCACCTTGGTGAGCCCTTCATATGCGGTTTCATTTCATACTTAGCACAGCCCCAAGGGCTAAGTGCTACTGTTGGGGCCATTTCACAGATTGAAAACTAAGGCTCAGCAAGGTGGAGCAGCTTGCCTGGGGCCCCCTCGCTCATCAGTGGTAGAGGTAGCGTTTGCATCCAGCCCCATTTCATTTCCACCCAGCCCTCCACTGTCTCACATCGCTCAGCCCCTGCCTCTCTGTTGGAGGACTCTCTCATCCAGCATTTAGGCAATAGGAGGCCACCATAGGCAGGGGGTTGCTGGCCAGAAGAGAAAGGGAGTGGGGGGAGGGCCGGGTGAGGAGAGGAATAGTATCCAGCGTTGGGGGCACCACAGAGAGTCTACCTCCACCTGCATCCACCCCACCCTGTGATGAGACCCCTGCCCCAGCAACACCAACAGGCCCCGGGTGAGAAGACCCAGCTGTGGGGGAGCCCACACCCCCCAGGAAAGGGAGGACTCAAATCTGCCCACCTGCCCCATGCTCAGCACCTACCACAGATAGTGCTGCTTTTGCTCAGGGCACCTGCCAGAGCCTCCACGCCAGCCCCACAGAGCCCATTGTCTCGAAGGTCCAGCCGCTTGACATAGGGATTGGAGGTCAATGCTGAAGCCAGAGCCCGGGCACCCTGGGACAAAGAGGGGACTGAGGGACCTGGTCCTTCCCAGGGGTGAAGGCCCCAGACACAGCTGGCCAGTACCCTGGTTCATTTCCAGGACTCACCCCACCCAGTGCCCTCCAACTAGAAGGCCCTCCCCTTCCCACATGCCCAGGGGACACCTTATCCTTCTAGGCTCCACCCAGATCTTACCTCCTGGAACCTTCCCTGACCGCCCCTCCCAGCAGGTTAGGGGCCCCCTGCAGACCCTCCAACCCTTACACTGAATTCTGTCATAGCCCTGATCCCACCTGTCACCCAGAAGTGGGGATGGGACATGTCTGACACAGAGCAAGGCCAGGGAGTATGTGGTATGGGCTCAGGAAGGGGCCACTCCTATGGCTGCTGCCTCCCAGGTGCTGTCACTGCAAGCCTGGCCCCAGGGTCTCTCCAGGGTTACCTGGGGCCCCAGGCCATGGTGCCTCAGGTTCAGCTCTGGGGTGCTCCCTTGGCGCAGAAAGCAGGAGGCAGGCACAACACTATGGGCCTGGCAAGACCTCAGGTAGAGGGTGTCCTTGACCAGTCCTCCAGGCCCATGGATACCTGATAGGAGAAAGGGAGATGATGAATGTGGATCCCTCTCCAGACACAGTCGCCTACTCCCCTGCCCTGTGTCACCATGCAGCCTATGTTCCCCTCTAAACAATTCTAAGTTCTATACATTTATTAGCTTAGTTGTTCCTGTGGGTTGGGAAACCCAGCCCTGATCCTATTTCGGGGTGGGACACCCCTTCTTACATTGTTTGGCGGGGTTTAACATCACTCACTTTGGAGGCGTTTTCTAAAGGTGCAGCTCCTGATGCCGCCAGGAGCATTATGGGGAGGGCACGGGGTCGGCTGGAGGGGCCGCCCGCTGTCCCAAAGGTGTCCCACGGAGGGGTGCGCTCCCTGCTGGACAGGGTTCCCTTGCCCGCTTGGCCCCAGCCTGCCCCCTCCAGCCCCGCGGGAGCAGCGCCCTAGGTGAGGAGACAGCACCTTCCATCTCCCGGTCGGAGTCTGAATCAACGTCCGAACACTCCTCGGCCTCCGGGGCCCCTGCAAGACGCCCAGCGGCCGCTGCCACCCCTTCCTCCTGCTCGTCCTTCTCCCCGGACCTCTTGCAGGGAGCCCTCATGGTTACGCCCATTTCTCAGTCTCAGGCACTGAGGCCGGAACAGCGCGGCCAGCACCTAGAGCGTTGCCCGGGGATATGGGCGGACCCTCCGGCTGAGTTGACCAATCGAATGTGGCGCACAGCGAACAGGCTCCCGCTACAACCAATAGAGACGCGCCTCCGTAGCAGTCGCCCGGGCAACCCGGTGTTGTTGGTTGCTACAGAAACCGCCGCTGGCGTGGGCCGACCTTTAGCTTACTCAGTCTGGGCAGATGAGAGAGTGCGCCAGGGTTCCAGCATCGCCCCCACACCTTCCACGGACTGGGGAACATGGCTGACTCCAAAGCCTGTGCTTTTTGTCCCTACGGCCTGCGGGCGCAGTGCGCAAGAGAGCCTGGGGAACCTTGCAAAGCCCGGTCACCCTCCCCTCTGGAACCAGAGTCACGCTCTCACTCCGTGGCTGCCAATTCTCTCTCATGCTCTAGCGTCGCATATACTGCTTCCTCCACCAGGAACATTCCTCTCCAACTGTGCTTGTTGAATTTCAGAATCTGCAAGTGTCAGCTCGGAGGTCACTTCTTGAAGCTTTCCTTGACCCCCCCCCCCGGGCTCCTGCAGCCCCCAAGCTGCCCTCTTACAGTACCTATTGATGGGGGAACAGAAGGCAAGCTGAGGACCAAGCCGAAGCTGGTACCCTACAACCCCCCACCCCCCTTTGGGATATATGTGACATTCCTCAGGCACTCCTGGCTGCCCTAAAGGAAAAACAAATGGTTAACTGATAGAGATCACAGTCTTGCAGGACAGGAGTCTCCCTCAGTTTACAAATGTCCTAGTGATTTACAAGGAAGAAGCTTTCAATAGCCTAACTTCCAAGAGACCCATAACTCAGTTTCCTGAGGTCCTAACATCACCCTCCCCTCCATAAACTTAAGGGAGGCTGAGGCACAAGGAAATGTAAATAAAATTGAATTTCTTCTGAACCTAAAGCGCACTGACAAGGACATGTGATAGGAGGAATGTAACCTTCCTCCAGGAAACTCCCAACTGTCTTCATGTTAGTGCCTCATTAGAGGGAAAAACAGCAGTGGCTTGACAATAACCAAGCCTCTAGTATCCTGAGAGTCTTTAGCAAATGAGAGTCCTTCTGGACACCCCCTTTGTCCTCACCTCCCCAACTCCTGAGTATGTGATCAGCCCCTCCTCAAGACCACAGGGCAGCCCCTCTTTCTGCCCACAGGGCCTGTCCCCGTGCTTTAATAAACCACCACTTTGCACCAAGGACGCCTCAAGAATTCTTTCTTGGTCGTCGGCTCCGGACTCCACCCCACTGAACCTCACCTATATTCCAAAACTGCATCACCTATGACACTTGTCATCTCCTCCTCCCTCCCTCCCCCAATGAAGTGAGGCCAGAGAGTAGGGTTGCAGAGGCTTCTCCTCTCTGTGGGGGCCCTGGGCCCCCTCAGAAGGAGAGGGTGGGAGGTCCTGGGCAGCCAGGGGTTGACTCTGAACCCAGGGCTGGGGGGTGGCGGCTGGATCCTGTCCCCAGTGGAAGTGTCCCTTTAATAGCTTGCTGGCCTGGGCCGGCTAGGGCGCCTGCTTTACCTCCCATTCAGCTGTGGTTGCTGCCACTGTGCTGACTCATGCGCCCCAGCTGCTCGCAGGAGCTGGAAGCATGGGCTCCCCAGGGGCCTTGGCAGGCTGGGGGCTTCTGGATTACAAAACGGAGAAGTATGTGATAACCAGGAATTGGCGGGTGGGCGCCCTGCAGAGGCTGCTGCAGCTTGGGGTTATGGCTTACGTGGCAGGGTAAGAGAAAGACTCCTGGGCCACACTTGGCTGGGGGGATAATGACTGGGCCTGCTGGGCTAAGGGTTGACGGTTTGACTCTTCAGGGGCTGAGCTGGTGGTAGCAGAGGGGAGCAGGTTGGGACAGGGAGGAAGTAGGCAGAGGGAGGATCTTTGTCTAGAAGCCAGTGGATACAAGAGCAAGCTGTGGGCCTGGGTCCTCTTGTGTGCCCACCTGCTTCCTTTCCTGGGCCTTGTTTCCAGGTCCATATTGATCTCTGGGCACAGAGTACCCACGAGGCCCCTGGTGGGGCAGGAGGTATAGTCCTTGATGCTTGGGAGAGCTGGGAGACCACCAGTTTTAACTGGGTCAGAGGAGTCTTTAAGGAGGACTTGGGCCTAGCCAGGGCAGGGGGAGGGTGTTGGCTGGTGAAGGAGGTGGTGGTGGACATCTCCAAGCCCATGAGTGCCTGATAGGGGACACCCATGAAAGGCACTGGCTGTCTGATCATGGTTGGAGCTTCTGGCCTGTGCAGGGTGTTTGGGGTGGGAAATGAGGCTGGAGGGGAGGCAGGGGCCCTGAATGCTGGGCTGGGAGCCTGGAGGGTGTGTGAGGAGAGAGGCCGAGGGGGCGGGGCCCACTCTGCCACTGCTCACCATGGACCAGAGACAGGCCACACTGCCCACCGCTTCCTCCTAAGGTGGGCTCTCCTCGCCAAAAAAGGATACCAGGAGCGAGATCCGGACCCCCAGATTTCCGTCATCACCAAACTCAAAGGGGTTTCGGTGACCCAGATCAAGGAGTTGGGTAACCAGCTGTGGGACGTGGCGGACTTTGTGAAGCCACCACAGGTAGGTGCCTTGGTCCTGCTGCCAGGCAGTAACACCTCTGACACCACCTTTGCGGCGAGTGTGTGCGTGAGGGGCATGTGAGGCCCGAGCGGGGTGCTGGCACCGCAAAGGGTCGGGCTTGGGAAGGGCCTTACAGAGGAGTAGTGCCTGGACGGGGCTTTCCGGGATGTGTAAGAGGTTTCCAGGTGGCCAAGGAAACAGAACAGGAAGCCAGGCCAGAGGAACTGTCTTTATAAGGGCTGCCCCTGGAAGAGTGGAATGTTTAGGAACTCAAGGCTGGAGCTTGAGGATGGGGCAGGAGAAGCGGAGCGGACCAGGGTCTGGAGCTTTCAGAATGCTGCCCTCCCTGACCTGGGGCACGGCTCCCAGGTGCTCCTCCTCTGCCCCTCCCACACAGCATTTCCAGCTTCTTCCTTCTTCCCCCACCCAGATTGTCCACAGCTTCGGTTTCTACCTTTATCCTGCCAATGCCAAAACTGTAGCCCCAGTGACTGCCTGTCCCAAGTGCCACCTGCCTCCTGGGTTCACACCCACCACGTCCAAAGAGAAATCATCTCCCTCTCCCGGGGTGGCCTCTTTTCATCCAGTGAGGGCCAAAGCTGGACCTGTGCCTCCCTTCTGTGCATATTCCGTCTCCTAGCAGTGTTCACTGCTGCCTGGGTCATACCTGGATGAGGCTGTGAGCTTCTAGTGGGTCCCCGGTGCACGCTGCCCAGCAGCCAGCCTGAGCTTTCCTATGTGATATCAATCAGAGCCTGCCGAACCTTGTTTCCACTCTGGGAAGACTCCCTTTCCATGGTGGTGGCCACCAAGTCCAGATCTTCACCACTTTCACACCCGCTGCCTTCTCTCCTTCCTGGGTGTGCATTGCCCCAAACTTGCAGAGCTCACACATGCAGCACTTGGGTGTCAGCCACCCGGCCTGTCCTTACCCTCCCTTTGCCCAGGTGGAGCTCATTACCTGCTCCTCTTGCCCCTGACCATGCATGCAATTGAGGGGTCCACCTCTCCCTTACTTTGGGCAGGTCCCCAGTCCAACTCAGCTCTGGATCTTCAGTGCCTAGAAGCAGGAGGCGCTTGGACAATTCTGGCTGAGAGAATGAGTATGAACATGAAAAATACACTTGTCTCAAAGAGGCAGCTGTGGGCTTCTCGAAATGGCCAGAAACCCAGCCAGCCTCTTATCTCTACTTCAGCTGGCTTCACTGGAGGCACTTTCCTGACTTGATCGGGCCAGGACCCTTTTCCCCACCAGCCAAGCTGCCAGTTCTGGCCTCTCCCTTTGGGGGAGGGAAGCAGGGACCAACCCTGACACTTGCTTTCTAGGGAGAGAATGTGTTCTTCTTGGTGACCAATTTTCTCGTGACGCCAGAACAAGTTCAGGACAGATGCCCAGAGGTAAGGCTGCCCAGGAGCTTCCCAGCAGGTCCCTAGTTCCTGTGCCAGCCCTGGGTCACCAGCCATGTCCCCCGTTCTCCTTCCCGCATAACTGAGGGTTCAGTATGTGCTCCTGTATCTCAGGCACTGAGCTAAAACCTTTTCGTGAATCATTCCACTTAATCTTCACAAATACTCTGCCTGGTAGGAATTACTGTGATCCCAGCAAGGTAGACTCACGTGCTCAAGGCTGTCCAGCCTCTGGACCTCTGAGCTGTTTTCTGGAGCCTTCCACCATAGCCCTCTGTGAGATGTCCTGGCCCTTCCCGTCCTGGTCCCACCTCTGGGCACCCTTCAGGTTGTTAATGTAACACCCAGAATTGGGCACAAGGCTCAGGTGAGCTCTAATAGCAAGAGGCTAGATCACCTTCTTTTTTCCTCTTTTTTTTTTTTTTTTTTGTAAGATTTATTTATTTATTTTTAGAGAGAAAGAGCGTGGGCAAGTGTGAGCAGGGGTGTGTGTGTGGGGTAACTGGTGCAGAAGGAGAGAAAGAATCCTGAAGCAGACTCCCTGCTGAGCGAGGAGCCCCATGTGGGGCTCGATTCAAGGACCCTGAGATCATGACCTGAGCCAAAATCAAGAACCAGCCTCTTAACAAACTGAGCCACCCAGGCGCCCTGATCACCTCCTCTTTTCTATGCTCAGTCTCTATTAATGTGTCCCAAGTCAGCTTCCATTTTTGTGGCCAAACACAGCATACTCCTGCTGATGCTGAGCTCAGGGTCACTTATGATCTCTGGATATTTTTCACTACAACTGTGGTCACACCAGAGTCTCTCACCCCCTATTCTTGTCTATTTTTCATCCAGAATCACAGGTTTTCTGCCTGAAATCTCACCTTTTCCCCTTGCGTGAGGATGTCCCACAGATCCAGTGTCTGTCACAGAGCACACTTACTCTTCTCTCCTGCTGTGGGTTTTTTTCCAAAAATTTTTTTACTGTGATAAAATACATGTGACATAAAATTTACCTTCTTACCCATTTTTAAGTGTATGGTTTCCAGCTGTGGATTTTGTTTGAGCAGTTGGCACCCAAGACATAGCCCTGGAAGCCTACCTCTATGGTGACCTCTTTTTAAAATCCAGGCTAACATTTAATTGCTTACGGGGCTGGAGAGTAACTGTGTGGTCACCTGTCCCCTATGTCCTGGTTGTTGGTATCACCACAGATGCTGGGGGTGTCACATGTCCCAGGCTGGCCGCATCCGCAAAGGACGTAAAGCATGTGCACAAAGGATGTGCAAATGCACATGATGTCTTTCTTTTCCTAAACGTTCAGAAGACTTCTAATTAATGTTGAGTGTGTAGGCTGTCCTGAAATTTTGCTGAAGCCATCATTCTGCGTTTTCTGGAATCCATGTGATTCCTCTTTGCCTCATGTCCCGGGTTTGAGCTCTTCCCATGAAACTTCCGGGGCTGGGAAGGAATTCATCAGATCTGACAACATGACTTCCTAAGACTAGCCAGCATTCCTGCCATCTCCTCTTGGGGGTCCTGGTCATCCAGTCCCTCCCGACACATGCACTGTTCTTCTTGGAGAGCCCAGCCTCCAGCAAATACCTGCTGAGCCTCGGGGTGGGTTGTGTGTGTGGGTGGGTGGGTAGGGGGCAGGCCCGATGCTGGGGATGCAAAACTCCACTGCTTGTATCTCAAGCAGCTCCTGCATAGGCAGCCCAGCCAAGGAGGCAGTTCCTGGGATGCGGGCAGAGCCCATAGCTGGAGACCCAGGGAGGCATGTCTGCCGGCCCAGGGCCTCAGGAAGGGTTTCCCACAGAACTGGAGACTCAAGTGGGATCTTGAGAATGTCCAGGCTGAGGGAGCTGTGTGAGCAAAGGCCCCAAGCTATGTGAGATGAGGCACCTCCGGGGTCACCTGCTTCAAGTGGGGTTGGAGCCTAGATTTGGATTGAGGTGGCAAGGGGGTAACCCGAGATATCAGGGGCCCTGTGAATTCTGCTAAGGAGCTGAACTTGATCACAGGAGCGTGGTGGAGGCTGAGATGGTCTCTGCTGAACGAATGGAGGCAGATGACGCAGAGACCAGGCCCTGTGGTGGTCATCATGGGGTCCGATTGGAGGAGATGGCAGCCCAGCCGGTGGGGGAGAGGAGGGGCGGACTCAGGACACAGGTGGCCCTACTCTGTCCTCTGCCCACTTATCACAGTCCCCACCCCTCACGGTCTCACTGTCTCATTTGGCCTAGGGTCCCTGAAACCTTCTTGCCACTGTGGCACTGGGGTCGTGAGCCAGGTGACCCGAACCATGGCGTTCATTGTCGGCCTAGGGCGGAATGTATCTGTGAGAGTGTGCTTTCCTCTCCAGGCTCTAGGGCCCCCAGAAAGCTTGCCACCTCCCCCTTCTGGCTGACCCCTAGAATACTGTGAGCGTGCAGGCACTAATGTCCCTGTTTTACGGAAGAACAAGCCGTGTGTGTGGTCCTACCCACTTCCCTACCCAGACCCCTCCAACCAGGGCCCTGGCCTCTGTTCCCCACACCCAGTGCCTCCACCCTGGCATGAACTTGACCTTCCCAGAGTCCCTTCACCTTCCCTGTTCTGTCATCTGAGTTGGACCAGAGGATCTGGGCCTCCGGCAGGGAGAGAACTATCAGGAAGGAAGGAAGCTTGCTCTGCCTTGGAATACAGCACCTGAATCCCTAGCTGGCCAGGGGGCTGCTTGCTACCCTCCTCTGACCACCTCCTTTTATTTGTACCCTCCAGCTTTCCCATGTGCCCCCCAAACTCAGGCATCTCTATGGGGCTAAGGCAGTGGGGGCCACACCTGTGTCCCTGCAGGCTTCAGGGCTGGGTCACAGAGGGGAGCCATACCCCGGGCCCTTGGCAACTCTGCTTTCCCCACCTCAGCACCCCTCCATCCCGCTGGCTAATTGCTGGGCCGATGAGGACTGTCCCGAAGGGGAGACAGGGACGCACAGCCACGGTAACTGTGGGCCCTGTCTTCCAGTGCCTCCCCTGGGTGGGGTCTCCAGGGGCTGGGCTGGGACCCCGGGTGGCTCTTGAGGGCAGGCCTGGTGGTGCCTCTGCGTCTCTCCTTTCTGTCAACGGCCCCCTGGCCCTACCCCCACCCCTCCCCGGGCCCTGTGGAAATTTGAGGGCCTGGAGTTTGTCTTTTTTTCAAGGCATAAAAACGGGCCAATGTGTGGAATTCAATGGGACCCACAGGACCTGTGAGATCCAGGGCTGGTGCCCTGTGGAGAGCAGCACCGTGCCCGTGTAAGTGTGTCCCCCACCGCCCCCTCCAGGACAGGGCCCCGGAACCGCAGACCCCGCCCTTCATTTCTGCTCTGCCCGCAGGAAGCCCCTACTGGTCCAGGCAGAGAACTTCACCCTGTTCATCAAAAACACTGTCACCTTCAGCAAGTTCAACTTCTCCAAGTAAGCGTGGGTGGGTCCTGCTGGCCCCAGACCCTCCTGGTCTCCTACCTGGCCTGACCCCCCGTCCCATCCCCCACCCCCCAGGTCCAATGCCTTGGACACCTGGGACGCCACTTACTTCAAGCGCTGCCGCTATGACTCACGCTACAGCCCCTTCTGCCCTGTGTTCCGCATTGGGGACCTCGTGGCTGCGGCTGGAGGGGTCTTTGAGGACCTGGCATTGCTGGTGGGTCCACGGGTTCCAGGAGGGCTCAGGGAGAGGGTCCGGAGCCTGTGTGCTGGTGAAGCAGCGATGTGCCGTGTGCAGGGAGGTGCCGTGGGCATCCGAGTCCACTGGGATTGTGACCTGGATGCTGGGGCTTCCGACTGCCGGCCCCACTACTCCTTCCAGCTTCAGGAGAGGAGCTACAACTTCAGGTGCGGCCCCCCACTGCCCTGTAGCTGCTCCTTGGCCAGGTCACCCCTCCACCCGTGTCCTCCTGTGGCAGCCAGGACCCACCACACGGCGGCCCACCCCTCCGGACACTCCACTGTGTGTGCAAGGGGGGCCCCAGGGCCAGGAGGGGTGTTCTCAGCCTCTCTCCTTATACGGTCCCCCTCTGTCCCCTGGGACTCCTCACCCCCAGCCCCTCCCCCACTCCCCCCCACCTCTAGCATCTCCCTCCTCGGCACAGGGGCGTTTCTTTTTTACTTTTGCCTTAGGTCTTATCTAAAAATTCTCAGAAACCTATAGAAAAGTTCAAAGATTAGTACTGTGAACACCCGTACCCATACACCCTTTATCTGGGTTCTCTAGGGGTTTTTGTTTTGTTTTGTTTTGAATTTTATTTTTTACCATTTTGCCACATTTGCTTTCTCTCTCCCTCTCTAGAGTAAGCCGGATTGATTGATTGATTGATTTAATTAATTCATTTAGATTCATTAAAATATTCATTGAGCAGCTAGGGAGATACAAAAGTGATTAAAACTTTGTCAAAGAGGTGCGGCAAACGCGCACATCACAGAGAGCCAAGGGTAAGGGGTCTCTGAATCACAGCAGTCCGAAGAAAAGTGCTTGAGGAGATCAAGAATGACACTGCTTCCAGCTGGGTACACGTAGATAGATTTCAAAGGGAACTATTTGAAAGGGAGTGCCGGGAGAATGAGGACCTTCCCCACGTGACTGCTGTCGCCTCGTCACCCTCAAGAAATTTAACATTGGCAGAAGAAATCTAATATTTAAATTTCCCCAACCGTGCCAGTAATAGTCCTGTATCTCTATCTTCCAATCTGGGATGCACTCAGGGATCTTGCATTGCATTTACTGTCGCATCTCTGAGTCTGCTAAACAGACCTCCCCGCCCCCCCCCGCCAGTATCCTTCTGTCACTTCCTGTCCCCTGGTCATTGTCACGAAGATGCACACAACAACCACCAGGCCTGGAGGTGATGCCCCTTGATGTCCCCTTTACCCTTTAGACTCACACAGCCCAGGGCTTGCCTCCCTACCTGCCCTCACCCCCACGACCAATGCCTGTGTAGGGACCCTTCTGCCTGTGTAGGGACCCTTCTGCCTGTGTAGGGACCCTTCTGTCCCCATCTGTCGCCTCAGCAGACAAGGAGTTTCCAAGAGGCAGGAGGTCCCAGTTTGCTTTTCCCCTGTGTTCCCAGCAATGACACAGGGTTGAGACAGCTGGGGCTGGGGCTTTATAGAGTCAGTGGACGTTACCCATCCAGGCAGGAGGCCTGGAAGGGCCGGGCCAGCCCAGGAGCGGCAGCAGAGCAAGCCACCACACTTTCTTTCCTGCCCTCAGGACAGCCACTCACTGGTGGAAGGCCTCAGGTGTGGAGGCCCGGAGTCTGCTCAAGCTCTATGGGATCCGCTTCGACATCCTCGTCACTGGGCAGGTAGGAGGTGCTGCGTGAAGGCATTGGGGGGTGGGGGTGGGAGAGGGAGAGAGTCACAGCCCTAGAGGCTCAGTCCAGGTCGGTCTCAGGCAGGGAAGTTCGGGCTCATCCCCACGATCATCACTCTGGGCACTGGAGCAGCTTGGCTGGGTGTGGTGAGTCTGGCCAATGTGGGCTCCCTCTGGCTACAGCGATTGTGTACCCAGGATGGCCCAAGTGCACTCCCAGCACCCCGACCCCCACCACGCATGATGTTAAGTCTGGGGGTGAGGGCTGGGGAGGTGGCCGAAGGGCAGGCTGAGGGCCAAGACACAGGTCTGCCCCGCCTCTCCCAGATCACCTTCTTCTGTGACCTGCTACTGTTGTACGTGGATGAAGAAGCCCATTTCTACTGGAGTACCAAGTATGAGGAGGTGAGCTGCGGGCCTGTCCGGACCCTGGGCTTGGCTACATTTTGGAGGATACTGACCAGAGCCCTGATCTGATGTTCTCATCTGCAGGCAAAGGCCCCGAAGGTGACCACCAACCCTGAGCAGACAGAGCCAGCTTCTACACCCCCGCACGTGGCTGCCCAGGTGTCTTAGAGGGGGCCCAGTCTGGGAACCAGACACCAACACCACAGTGGCCCATGCCCAGGCTCCGGCCCCCACTCACTGGCCTGTTCCTGAGGCTGTTTCCTGCTGGTTGCCGGGTGGGGACCCCATCTTGGGGACCTGCTGGATAAAGCCCCAGCAGGACCAGGGTCGGGGGTGGGGGGAGAATTCCACCCTTCCACTCCCAGACAGACTGACCCTTTCCTGACTCCAGCTTCAGCAGGGTGCTGCCTGGGGGGCCAGAGAAGCCAGTTTTGTATAGAGACCTGCAGCAGAACAGGAGACCCTGGGGCACCCATGTGGCAGGGTAGTGGGCCAGTGGGGCTCCTGCTGTGTCTAGGTCTAGAGAACTCTCTCCCAGTCCCCGTCAGCAGTGTTCCCAGCAGTGGCCTGCTCACCAGCTGTCAGCAGCGGCCCTCCCACTGGCTGTGGCAGACTCCAGCCCTCCTCCATCTGCCAGCACCCCTATCGTAGGTAGAGCCCCTCCCTCTCAGCTGTGCTGCACGGGGGGCTGTGCAACCAGAGTCTGAAGCAAGGTAGAAAGAAGCCTGACAAGAGGGGTCAGGCTGCTCTGGTGTTGGGTTGCCTGGGGCAACCTACCCAACTCTGGATGAAGAGTGAGTAGGCAGATAATCCAACCCCTAGGGACCCCCAGGCAAGGACACAGGCACCCTTTGGTCTCACACCGGCCCAGTTGATGAACATCAGCCCCTCCCTGGTGGTGGCCCTCAGGCTATAGGGTTTGGGATAGGGAGGAGAGACTGGAGGGCCTGAGATGGTGGTCACTGGGTCCTTTGGGATCTTCTGTAAGGCTCCTCATTAACCACCCCTCCCCAGCCCAACCCCTAGAACCTGCTCACCGGAGCCATGGGGGTAGGGAGGCTGTACATCTGGAATTCACTGCTACCCAAGGTCATAGCTAAGAACCTGTCAGGGCATCTGCTTGTCCCAGCCTGAGGCAACTGCATGCAGGAGACCTTGAACATAACCCCAGGTAGAGCCCAGTGGCTGGAAGGAATGTCCCTGACAAAGGACACAAAGGTGCCCCGCAGGCTGGCTTGGTATCTTTCTGGAGTCTGATTCCTGCCTGCTGGAGAATTTCCCCTGCCCCAGAGTCCCACAGTCAGGAGGGGAGGAACAGGGGCTGCAAGAGCCAAACTCCCTGTGGTCCCAGGGCAGAGGCAGGAATTTGGGAGAACCCACCCGAAGGAGGCAAGGGGCTTCTCTCTCATGGGTCCCTGGTGACCAAGGGTGAGCTGGCAGCTTGGCAGCGGAGCCACAAAGACCAGTTGGGGGGGGCCAGGGCTGGGGCTCAGGCTGGGCTAGCATCTGGAATCATCTGGCACCTGGAGCCTCAGCAAAGCCTTGGGGTCTCTGCTGCTTCTCAATCCCCAGAGACGTGTCCATGGGGAGGAAGGTTCAGGAGAGCCAAGGTGAGAGAACATGGCTCTGAGGCCTGGTTATTGGAGTGGGGTCACATGTACCTGGTTGTGCTCAGGGCTCTAAGTGGTCATAGCTGCAGAAAGTCAAGGAGTAAAGCCTGCTCAAACCAGCAGCTTCCTGTGTAGTCCTTATAGGCAAGAACGGGGAGTTGGAAGCATCTATGATGGACACAGCATGGTTTTAGGGAGACCAGTGGGAAAAGGGGAAGGGTGGGCCTGGGGACCCCCGCCTCACAGCCACCAGCTGGGCTCGGCGGTACTTGGAGCAGGCCCAGGCCTTGTGCATCCGTACGCAGGAGTGTATACCATACATGTGTGTAATATCCTAAGCCTTTATCGCAAAGCCCTTGAGGGAAGGGGGAGAGTACCAGCTGTGACAGCTAGACAGCTGTGGCCAGGGCCTGCGGCTGGAAGCAGCAACACGTTGCCTCAGTCTGCATGTGCGTGTGCATCGTCAAGGTGGCCATGCAGGCACGTGCCCCAGAGGAGCCCTGGGCAGGCCTCGGGGACATGCTATGCTTTCTGGGAGCCTTGGGAACCCAGGAGGACCCTGGAACTCCACTGCCCTTTGTAGGCGACCTTTTTGAGGCCCAGGTTCTGCTCTCTGGATCTGCCCCCTCCAAGGGACACGTGGGGAGCCTGTGGTGGGGGGAGCCTGACTCTGCCCTTTTCATGGACCCCTCCTCTCCTGGTGTGTGTAGGGGTGTGTACATAGCTCTGCTCTGAGCTGGGCAGAGGGCACCAGCCTGAGGGCAGGACTCCAGGGCCCAGGCCGAGTGGTGTCTCTGATTCAGGGTTGTCCCAGAGCTGGTGCCTCCCTCTTGCCAAAACTTAGCATCTTTGCTGTGGTTTGGGGACAATCCCCTGGTTGTTGGGGGGGGGGCAGGAAAGCACTCAGCTCCACAAGGAATGAAATGGTGGACACAGCAGCAGGGCACGTGGCTGGCCAAGACGTTATTATTGTGGATATCTGGGGGCTGTGGGCCTCTCCCCTGCCTACCCTCACCCACCCCAGCCCACCCCACCTGCCCAAATAGCTGGAGTTGCTCATGAACAGGAAGGCGCTGGACAAAATATTCACCCCACCAGCACTGGCCATGGCCCACTCCCCCAAACCCAAAACTAGGCACTTGGGCTAAGGCCCCCAGGTCTCGAGGACCCCTCAGCATGAGCAGGCCTACAAACCTGAGCTGGCTCAGATAGAAGGGACTCCCAGCCCCTCTGGGCTCCTGAGGACATGGGGAGGGCAGAAGGCGCATGGACAGGCCTCCAGCTCGATTCATGGACTGGTGGGCTGCTCTGTGGGGCTGGGCTCCTGGGTAGGCACCTGGCTGGTGGGCTGCACCGTCTGCACCGTCTCCTCCAGGCTGGTGCTGGGGAACACCACGTAGCGTGTGGTGGTCAGCTCTGGGGGCTCCCGCTGGTTCTCTTTGCTGTGCCAGATGCCATAGCCAAAATACACGGCAAGTCCTGCAGGAGTTGTGAGAGACTGAGGGCCAGGTCCCAGCCCTGCTTGCCCTCCTTGCTTGCCTTCTTCCTGCGGCCCACCCAGGGCCCCAAGCCTGGCCCCCACTCACCGATTAGCAGCCAGATGGAGAAGCGCAGCCAAGTCAGGTAGCTTAGCTTCAGCATGAGGCAGATGTTGAGGAAGATGCTCAGGGCTGGAGTCAGGGGCACCATGGGGATCTGAGGGGGCAAGAACGGGGGTGGGCTGGACTGCAGGGAAGGTCTGCTGGCTCAGGGTCTGATTTCTCAAGAGTCCACAGAGCCTTTCTCCATCTCTGGAGATTTGGGAAACAAGAGCCCACTTGCCATGCAGAAAAAGAGAGGGGGATGGGTGTATGGGCCTCCCCTCACCCTGTGAACCCTGTTCATCCTGGCACAGCAGAGGAGGAAAGGGCAAAGAGAGCTAGCTGGGCTGATAGCCAGTGGGCATTGGCTGGGGGAGGTACCTGGAAGGTGTCTTGCTGGCGCTGTTGCTGGTGGGCCCCCAGGACGAGGAGGCTGAGCAGAAATGCAATGGAGCTGAGCAGGAGCAGCAGGATGTAGCCCCAGTATGGGAGGTGCAGGGCTGAGTCCCCGAAGACCAGTACACAGGCCAGGGTGATGGCCGAGGCCACCAGGATGCTTAGTGCCCAAGCCACAGCAGCTCCAGGGCTGCACCTACCTAGGAAGCCCAGGTAGGGCCTCAGAGCTGGCCGCAGCTGCCCGGGCTCGGGGGCTGAGGCCTGCTCGGTGCCCATCAACTGTATGTGGTCTGAGAAAGAGTGGTACTCTTTGACCCTGGAGCCAGGGCTGGCTGGGCCTGGGGAACTGGATGCAGGGGCCTTCTGGAAGCGTAGCACAAGAATACTGGTGGCCACGAAAGTGTAGGCCAGCAGCGTGCCAATGGACAGGAACTGGACCAGTGCCTCAAGGTCCAGCAGCAGCGCCAGTAAACTCATGAGGCTCCCGAACACAACGATGCCCGCCAAGGGCACCTGCGTCCGGGGGTGCACTCGGGCAAACACCTGGAAGAAGAGCCCGTCGACGGCCATGGCATAGACGATGCGTGGCAGGGAGAAGAGGCTGCTGAGCAGGACAGTGTTCATGGCTGTGGCAGAGGGTGGGGGCCTGGTCAGCATGGTGGAGAGGCCCACCAGGGGCCCCTGCTGGGAGCCAGAGCATGCACAACCCCTTGGGAACATGGGCATGAATTTGTCTGGGATCTCAGAGTGAGCCTAAGTGTATGTGGATGTTGGATTGTTACCCCACCACCCCCACCCCCGCCACCAGGAATGGGACACCCTAGTTTAGGTGACAGGCCCATCAGAGAATCTGATGAGGGCTGAGTCCTTCTCCCAGGAAAGGACCCAGAAGCGCACTTTCAGAACTGGCATTTTAGGTACCATTGGGAGGGGGCAGTGAGTAGGGCCCTCCCAACAAGCCTGGGTGGAGAGTCAAATGATTAGTCCCTTCCTGGACCCATTACGTAACTAGTAACAGACCCAGATGGAGAGGTGTTCCCCGGGAAGCTTAAGGCAGGGCCCCACTGCCCTGTTCACTCCCACCACGCCTGAAAGGCCCCTTACCGCAGATGGAGCCGGCTGCCACGATGAAGCCTGCCCAGCTGTAGCCCCGCCGGTAGAAGGCGTCGGCGAGTGCGGAATCAGGGTTCAGGCTGTGCCACGGCACCATGAGGGTGAGCACGGTGGAGACAAGGATGTAGGCACCAGCTGCCAGGCCGAGCGAGATGGAAATGGCTATCGGCACAGCTCGCTTCGGGTTCCTGGCCTCCTCGCTGGAGGCGGCAATGACATCAAAGCCCACGAAGGCGTAGAAGCAGGTGGCGGTGCCAGCCATGATGCCGGAGAAGCCGAAAGGCGCGAAGCCCCCCTCCTCGGCACTCCAGTTGTGCGGGCGGGCCAGGATAAAACCCAGGATGATGATGAAGAGGATGAGGACCAGGCTGACCACGGAGAAGACGTGGTTGAGCCAGGAGGAAACTCGGGCTCCGCAGGAGATGAAGGCGGAGGCCAGAAGTATGATCCCAGCAGCCAGGAAGTCTGG